TTCAGATTATGCTCCGCGAGCTTCTTAGAGCGCACAGCCGAGAGCGCAGAAACGCGGTTCTTGTTTTGCAGAGCCATTTTGGCAGTCGCATTAAGCTCAGTGATTTTATTCTCCAGGTTTTCCACCTGCTTGGCCATAGTCGCCATGAGCGTTTTGATAGAGGCGACGGCGGTGTCTTGCTCTGTGATATTTTTTGGAGCGTCACTGGTTCTGAATTTGATGGTCTGCAACATAATTAGCATCCTACATGGTATAGATGAAACACCCAGACATAGGAATAAAGACACATACCTTGCCATCGTACGCAATAGCACCGCTATCACGGGACATATACAGTAACAGCACATCCATATCCACGTCCGACAGGCGACTCCCTTCATCCAAAACACCCGCGAACTCGTTCACGAAGCTTTCCTTGGAATAGACCAAGTCCGTTTTTGACGGACTATTCGCCGTGGCGTTCTTGACTACGCGGTCCGCAGCCTCCTATAAGCACACCACATTAGTCTTGCCCGTTCCAACCACGAACCGAACCCAAGCCAACGCAACCTACCTTCAAATTCTCTACCAAAACCAACTCCTGAGGCTGTAACCGCGGCGTAGCTTCCTCGCCTCCAATCACAGCGCCCTTCAACTGCTTCATTCCCCAGCTCATGACAGCCCATGGACTTAACACAGACGTATCAATCCCCCACTGCGGCTTGCGCAAACTCGCTGGGTTAGTCCGATAAAGGTGCAGCGGCACCATGGTTCGATTCCTTGTCGCTTCGTCCTGCATCACACAAAGCCATAATTAGTCGCTGTACACCCCCACTTTCCTCATATACCTGCATATGGTTGTAACATACAAAGACCGCACCCAGTGCGACAGGCCGTCCACATTCTGGGATCTCCAGATCACGTAGCAAGGTTTCATCAGCTCGGAGGATCAAGTGGTTCGCTTTGCCCTTCGAGGCGGGCCCATGTGGAGCGATGTAGCCGTGCTTTGCGGCGGAGGTTAAGGCATGTTCCCAGGCTGCGATGTTGGTGGTGTATCCCTCGGGGTTGGTCTTGCGGTGGATGGGGAAGTCGGAGTAGAGGGAGGGGAGGCGGTTTCTGGAACGAATAAGAGACAGTGTGTCAGTAAAAGTGGCTAAAGAGGAGGGCAAAGCGGGGAAAGAACGGACTTTCTGAAGGAATCCTGCGAGAGGATATATTGAAGGAGGGTCGTCATTGTGGTTGTTATGGTGAGTGGTAGATGAGTATGTAAAGTGAGACAAGGAGATAATGGATGTAAATGTATCTAAATGTGGTATATATTATGTATTCGCAATAAAGGAAAAGTACACCCCGTCGGTGTAGGCTGGATAGCCCCCGTGCGTGCGTGGTGCTACTGAGGTAGTAGTACCGGGATGTCTATCTGATGTCAATAAATGGGCCACTTCGTCCATAGCGTTGGTTGTCGGGGAGGTCATCTTATCGATAAGAAATGATCACGTGTGATGGTTCTGCTGCCGCGGGCGATCATTTTCTGCCACCGCCCAATTTCCAACAGATCTCGGAGCCTTTCTTTTGGGGACTGTATGTTCTTAAATCCGCTTAAATCCGAGGGTTTTAGAGCGAGGTTCGCTAGGTTCTGCCGGGTTAAGCGGTCTGAAAGGCGGTAAGGGTATACCCTACGAGGACTACGGACATGTTAGGAGTACAGAGATAGTGATAAATCCAATTTAAGCATAAACACGTAGAGAAACATTAATTGACACATGTCTATGATATTGTATAAACCTATGCGCCCGTCGCACCATAATTGCGTCCCTAAGCTCGTTCGAAGTCGTCATTGGCTGCATTGTCATCATCTCTCGTGCCTTGCGCCGGACCAAGACCGCCCGAATCCAGCGGATTCGAGATCAAAGATTTGCGATTCATGCGCCGGTCCAGCTTCTCGCTGGTTTCTTCCGTGCCCAGTGCTTCGGCAGTGGCTGCCTCGTCCCTTGTGTCTAGCCCTCGGGCTTCTAAGTACTCGACCTTGACGGCGTGTCTTAGGTTGTCAACGAACGTTTGCATCTCGGGCATTGGAAATCCCCCATCGCCATCCAATACATCTGCATATAGTCGCTCCGCCTCCTCGAGAGCAGCCGATGCTAGTGACGGTTTCCCCAGACGAAGCCACATATCGGCGGCAAATACACTCCACATTCCAGCCTTCCGACGTCGAGAGCCCCATTTCATTCCGCTCACCGGTGACCTCGCCGCATAGCATGCCGACACACGCTCGCTGAAAAGCCCCTGGCCGATGGATCCCACAAGCCCAAGGTCCATGGCCCGCATGGCCCATCGAGCGGCGCTTTCCACTGCCGAACCCCCACGAGACTTCAACAATTCCATGGCTAAAGTGAGGCAACGAAGTGCATTAGGTGTGTCTGAGCACCGTGTAAGATAGGAATAACATGCCGTGTCGAACATCTGATCGATTCCGTCGAGCTTCACCTTGGTCCCCATTGCGGCCGGATTGAGAAGCATGCTTACGGCGCACATCTCGTAGGCACCCGCATGGTACTTCCAAGCCTTGTCGTTCGCATAGTCCGACCGAAGAAGCTCATACGTGGATGCTGATAATTTCCAGTCGCGGAGCATGAACGCGAAGTCAGCCATTTTACGCAGAAGGGCTTCAGGCGTGTCTGGCCTATAGTAACCGTGAGCGACATCGTAGTTTCCGCTGGCTCCTCCCGATGTAAGGCTGGAACGAGAGCCAGTACCGAACCCCGCCCATCTCCGTGACATGGACATGAATCGGCCACTGATACCACGCCTACGGGAGGCCACCTGGTCATTCCAAACAGCGACTCGGTTTTCCATGAATGGTATGACGGACTGTGCAACTAGCTCTCGAATGAAGGCCTTGATTGCCATAATATCCGAGTCGAAAAGGTAAAGACCATTATTATCCAGGTCAACCAAGGGCTCTGTTGATCGTCAGTAAGTGCGGTATTGTAGATGCAGGGGTCCTAGTCATACCAGCTCCACCCGAAAGTCGCTCAGTAGGCGAGAGCCATTCGCATTCAGGAACTTGAACACTGTCATCATCGGTGACCACGCACTGATTGCTGCGCAGCCTCAACAAGTGGCAATGTAACCCGAAATGACGCTTCATTTGGTCGTACAGCTTGGTTGATTCGGCAATGTCATCCCGATCCTCGTCATGAATGAGCACGTAGTACCGGAGGTATTCAGAGTGACACCAATCTGGCAACCTCCTGGGCCCATTGCTCGTATCCGCATACAATTGTCTGAGAGTTTCAAGCGGGGCAGTATTGCGTGAGCTGATAGCAATGACGCTCGCCACTGGATGTCGAAATGTTTCATGTGGCGTGGCCGAGGATATCGATAGAAGGTGTCGAAGAAATACTTTGTATAAAGGGGATGTTGTAGGAAAATTCAAGAAATCTCTGGGGCGCATTGATCCGCCCAGCGGATCATCTGTCGTGCCCAATTGCTTCTCCAAGACCTCTTCCACCTGTGCCAGGGAGGGGTTTCGCCCTGAGCTCGAATTGGTAGGGGGCGGGCTGTTGCTGGCCAAGTTCACGAAGCGCACCCCGTAGTCTTCCCAGCCACGACTCGACCCCACGCTGTCCCTTATGACCAACTTTCCGGGCACATTCTCGCCGAAAGGGCGAATCAACTCCCAGAAACCACCAGCGAAGCCTTTCTGTCGTACCAACTCATCGGTGTCCGCTGATGCATAGACTCCAACCACCGGAGCGAACGAGCGTATGATTAGAGAACGAATTTCCTCCGCGCCATCGAAACGACCTTCTACCGGGGATCCCAGGGATGATCGGGCTAATTGTGGAGTCGACGATCGGAAAGAAAGAGCACGAGGCGATGCGGACCTAATCGGAAGTTCTGCGGTCGTGGCCGTCAGGGGCGGGGTCGGGGAGCGGATCCTCGAGTCTACCAGGTCTGCATCGAGGGCCGGTGATGAGTCGCGGCGCTGATTCGGATATCTCGACTTGGATGCGACACGTGGAACGCCGGGCGAGAACGACGGCGGAGGCTTGACCGGAGCCGCATCTCCGGGCGATGTCATGGACTCCGAGTGGCGTGAGATGCGCTGTTAACAAGAGTAGAAATGACCCTAGAGCCCATGGACCGGGTGGGGAGTGATCCCACGGAAGAGTGACGAAAAGAGGGAGTGATGTGGTGTGGTGAGGTTCGGAGCGAATTGTCAGGAGAAAGGGAATGGCGGGAGGAATCCGGGCAATGTTGTAGGGATGCGTTGAAGCCAAGTCACCGCGGGCGAATCCCAGAGCGCAAGTCGGGCGAACAGCTCCGTTAGGCTAATGCGTCCCTCGCGGCAGTTAATGTCGGGGGGTCAAAATGATGGTGAGGTACTCTTTTGACAACTGCTTTACAGAATATATATATATATTCTAGTGTCAATGAGGAAAGCAGACTGGCTTACCAGTGGACTGCCATCGAACGGAGAGCTGCGACAAGCTTCATTGTTAGGTTTAATAAACTGAGTTGTTGTTGACGGCTCGGAAGGCGGTGATGATCCTCCACTTGATCTGCCGGGCAATTCATTAATTGTTCAGGCGCTGCTGTTGATCCCCTCCACTCTCTCCCTACGATGCGCTCTGCTTGTAATCGGGAAACACAAGGCTGACCATCTCATGACTCAATAGAGTACATTCACTCGTCAGCCCATTTGACTCATCCTGGGATGGCTGCTACCCATGCTCAGAACATCCCTCTTCTCCTTGCCTTCCAAGCGCCGCCTACTCCGCCTGACCGTTCCTCTCTCTCCGCCAACTGATGCTTCCGCCGCAACTGGATTTCTTTTCCTTCGCAGAATCTCCCCGTTGATACCCCGTGCCTGTATAAATACCCTCCGGTCTACATCTGTACCGCACAGCTCTTCCATGAGCCGTCGGAGATCCTGCAGCCTCTCCCCTCAGCAAACAAACAAAAGACGGCGCATACTTGAAGCTGCCCCGCATCAGGGCGCTGCAGGAGACATTATGACTCAATCCGCGAATACCGTTCCCACCATTGAACTTACCGCTCTTGAATCAACATTAAAATCGCTCTTACTCGATGTCGCAGAATACATACACGAGAAAAATATTGCAGAAGGACGCCGGGACACAGAGCCTACGGTTCTGCGATTTACCGGAGGATGGGTGCGGGACAAGCTCCTAGGGGTGGGCAGCAACGATGTGGATGTCGGTATCAACAACATGACAGGGTATCAGTTTGGTTTGCTCCTCAAGGAGTATATGGACAGACCGGAAAACCTGGAGAAGTACCGACAGAAGCAGCCCAATGGAGAGTTGAAACATGCGATTGCTAGCCTACATAAAATCGAGGCGAACCCGGAGAAGTCCAAACACCTGGAGACAGTGACAACAAGGATATTCGGCTTGGACATTGATCTCGTAAATTTACGAAAGGAGACTTACTCGGAAGACAGTCGAAACCCGCAGATGGAATTTGGCACAGCCCAGGAAGATGCAATGCGCCGCGATGCGACGATCAATGCGCTTTTTTATAACCTGAACGAGTCCAAGGTTGAGGATTTGACTGAACGAGGTCTGGAGGACATGCAGAAGAGGATTATTCGTACCCCGATGGAACCCTACCAAACCTTTCAGGACGACCCATTGCGTGTGCTGCGCTTGATTCGCTTTGCTAGCCGACTGGGTTACAATATCGAAGAGGAGACTCAGGAGGCAATGCGAAATGACCTTATCGGGGAGGCTCTCAAGCTGAAGATCAGCAGAGAACGGGTGGGCAAGGAGCTAGAAAAGATGCTGCAAGGTTTGTAACATCCCAAGTCAGCATTGATGGTTGCTCACAGTTTCCAGGTCCTGATCCCCGCGGTGCACTGCAATTCATTGACCACCTTGGACTATACCCGACTATCTTTGCCAACCACCAGGATGATGCGCAAGCAGATACCTCGTCATGGGCACTTGCATACAATGCGCTGGGGAGGATCCTGAACCCCCATGATGACGACCCCATGATTACCAAAAATGTCCGTGATTTCCTCGTACGCGACAAACTTGAATCCTACTACGCGTGGATGATTGCAGCATTTGCTCCATGGTCAAGTGTGCCAACCCGCGTTGCGAGGGGACCCAAGGCGAAACCTCTCCCGGCCCGGACCGCGGAAGTAGCTCGAGACAGTTTGCGAGCTGATAACAAGACAATCGCCGTCATTGGCGATGCGGCACATAATTGGCAGGCCATTACCGACATCAAGAACGCTGTCCTCGAGGGACGCTTGGATGGAACTGCAGCAGAAGTGCGGCAGCAGGTCGGACTGCACATCCGCTCGTGGAAGAAGGACTGGAGGCTCTGTATACTTCTTTCTATACTTCAAGAAATTATGCGAGGCGGCGAGTTTACCAGCGGTAAGGATTTTCCCACGCCCATTGTCTATATAAGAAATTTGTTACTTATCAGATGGCAGTTCTGGAATCGTACGACCACTTCCTCTCCTACATCAAAGAGCAAGATCTACAGGATGTGTTCGAACTGAAGCCCCTCGCCAACGGCGGAGAGATTGTAAAAGCTCTTGGTTGCAAGACTGGTCCCTGGATGTCGAAAGCCTTGGATATGTCCATCAAATGGCAGCTGTTGCACCCGGAGGTTACCGAGAAGGAAAAGGTGCTAGAAGAGCTGTCCCTAAGAAAGGAAGAGCTAGGCATCTCTACATAGTAATAGAATTATCATGGCCGCTCTATGGGTCCGACGACTCTGTTGTTCATTCCCCTCAACAATACTCGGCTTTGTGGGAGGAGTCCGAGGTGAATCCTAGTTCGTCCCTGATTTCCTTTGGCGCCTCGAGCAACAATTGAAGCCAAGCCCTCGACTCACGTTTCCTCGGTCTGGTGTCTCAATCTCCTCATATGCCAACAGGTGTCATAAGTATGACGATCATGAACTGTCGCGAAATGGGCACATTCAATGTGCCAGATCGCACGGCAGTGCCTCACCCAATGTGAGTAAGGGTGATCGCTCAAGCAGGGAAGGGACACTCCTTTATCCATAGACCACATCAGTGCCAATGAATTGCACTCACGTTTTGGTCCACTAGGTAGCTAATGTAAGGGAAGTATATTATCATGTATCACATGGATGTCTGGCGACCGTACTGGGCGATACGAATCCAACCCATTCCGTATGCCTTACAATCCATTCCTTCTCCCTAGCTGCGTGGTAGAGTGGATATGAATACCTAGGATGCCTTGAGTGGCAAGTCAGAAATCCAGATATCTCGTGAGTTTTTTCTGGGTGGTTCGTATCCCATATGCTTGTGCATCCACTTCCTCAAGTCCGGCCACCCGGTATCGTCAGCAAGTATCGTTGAATCCGAGTGACAATGTTTCATGAAGACTGGGTCTAATCCCTGTTTGATGTACTCTGGATTGAAGAGTCGCACGAAAAGTCCCTTGCGTAGGGCTCGGAAATCTCCATGGGGTGAAGGGGATGTATTGTTTCCAAGGAGCAACCACCACAACCCGTCCTTCAGATTTGACATCCTCCTGACATATAGACTAGGCAACTGAAGACTTGGTTCTCGGACAGACGAATTGCACTAATTAATGTGCTGAATGCTGAAATAAGCAGTACATGCCGGATCTATCGAGTGCTGCCTTACCTTCTTCCGTTGTCCGTGGGAGGTTATGCACACCTGATAATCCTTCAAACACTCTAATGGTGCAGTATGGGGTAATACAACATGTGTAAGTCAAGGCGGATATGCATCTACAATAGCTCACATGAACATGAACCAACCTTCAAGAAATGGTGGCTGGCTGATGGTGATAATTCTCTCAGCTCAATCAAACCCACACATGACCTATGCAATAGGGATGATGACTGTGTTTTCAATTTGAGCATACAATGGACGACTACAAATACGTCTCTCAATCCCATATCTTTTGAACATCAAAGCCTCCCATTATTAACTCAATCATACACACCGTCGTTGCTATTCGTGCACAAAAAGGCAGATATGCGCTACCTCGGTCTTCTGTTTTATGTCGCCGCTTCGTTGGTGGGCGGCGTGTATGCCTTTGAGGATCCAACCCCAGCAGAGCCACTCAATTATGGATGTCCGCTCAATCCTTCACAGTGCCAGAAGAATGTAAGTACCCATTGCCCCCAAAGTACGATATCGCGTGGAATTGTATACTGAAGCATACCATAGTGCATAGAGACCGTCCACGCTAAGACTTGGACTTGTGATGGCAACCTGAAAACGTATGAGACAATCCTTCTATATTACTTTGACAGGTTGACACTTCACTGACTAAATGTCTAGTGTTTGCCACTGTATTGGCTCAGCAACGGCGGCTCCCGAAGCATTGTTCACCTGAGGGATCTCACTTGGTAGCCAAACAAAGCTACTTCATATCATCCATGTGCAGCGTCATGTGTCGATTTCATATTGATGGGGGAATGTAATGAGAGTTCCAATGCGTTAGGTCAAGGGGATTCTGCTGAAATGGCAGGTGACATACTGCTCTCAATTGCTTGTGTTTATGCCGTGTTACTCCATGATATACATATTCAGCAGATGTCTTAGCATCGTTCTGGATAGAATAAGATAGTCATTCGATGATTCCGATGATAAAACGTGCAAGTATCTACCTCATTTAATCTAGTAGAGCATCAGCTGTTTTGATTGCATCCTCATTTGGTCCTTAATTTCACTCTCCTGTCTATCACAATCAGGACAAGCTTTGTGACATAGCACTTCAGTGACCAATTTCCAAAGATTCTGAGCCGACCAGGTAAAGTTGGTGAAAGCCGGAAATATATACTACCTTTAACGAGTAATCGTTTTTGTTCTTCCTTCCTTTTTTTCTTTGACATGTGTATAGTACCAAAAAAAAAAAAAAAAAAAAAAAAAAAAAAACTGAAAATATCTTGGATAAAAACGGTAAAAATTTCTGATAGAGGAGAAAAAGAGCGAAAGAAACCGCTCCTTTAGTTCTACGTTGCAGCTGAACGATGTCTGGTTGGGTAATGTCAGGACCGTTTCTCGGTTCCCGTTTCTTACCGCTCGAGAAATTCGGTTGCCGACAACGATGGATCCCCGAGTCATCTGGCCCGAAGCTATGGCCTTCCTATAGACATCTTGACTGTCAGTTCAACAAACACGTTTCTGTAGATAGCGAGGTACATAGACGTGTCTATGGAAGAGTTTCAATCGGTGGCGCGTGAGTGCCTAGGTCGCGGTGATGCGCACATCCCAGACTCGCGGCTGGATAATGTCGTCGTCCCCGGAGAATTGGACTGTTTATGGGACATCATTTCAGCCCACGAGGACAAAGATGATACAACTGTATGATAAGCCATTTTGTTATCGCACTGAGGCAGCAATGCTAACTGTGCACTGCAGGTGTCTGAAGACTTGTATCTCGCTCGGGAGTTCCTGAGACTTCGGAACTCCAAAGATTTATCAGAGCCTGATGCCGCCGCAGCAAATCACATCTATGCCTGGGCGAGTAGGCATGCTCTTCCATCGGCAGTGTATGCGGAATCCATGGAAGAGCCCAGTGGTCAGTTGAGAGCTTACCCCTCTAACATATTTGAATCCGCTGACATAGCCCAGAAGAGAAGAACGCTCTTATGCATGAAGACAAGCTGAGATCATCACTCTCAATATCCGTGATTTCAGCCTTGGACTCTCTATATCCAGTGCATAACGCAGCAGACGTGCCAAACATCATCCTCGCACTGGCAAGCTTCACTTCCGAAGCAGACCCGTGGACAACAGCCGAGTCACACACGGCGTCCACTGCCATTCTTAAAAGGTTTCGCACAACATCCCCCCCGACAGCAGATGTATCCTTCTGGGTTGTCCTTGAAACCATCCTCAAGGACACAATTCGACCTCTCTTCACGAGAACAAGGAACCCCGCTATCACAGCAGCAGGTCGCAAGGACATGCACCCTATCCCTCTTCCCAGATTTGATACCAGCATCCTTGACCCTGAGTCGAAACCATGGCGATCATCAGACGTCTACGCGACGACCGTCTTTGCCTGGATCCTAAGACAATATCAGGTACATTCCCCCCTCAAAGTACCACATTTACTCGTCGCTAACAGCTTCCAGGCACCAGACGTCGGCCGTCTGGAATCCCACTTCCCCCTCCTCGTCCCACCAATCCTCGCCTTGATTGACGATGAAACCAACCCCAACAGAACAGACGGCTGCACGCTTCTCACCCATCTCCTGCAGCCCATCCAGCAAGCCAAATCCGACATTCTGAAGCGTACCAACCTTTCCTCTGTCTTCATCGATGCCATCAAACCATGTCTCCTCTCCCTACCTACTATAACCCCTGAACCCGACTCCATCCGTTTGCTAAGCACAGCCTATCCAACCCTCTTCTTACTCCTCAGAACCAGCTACTTACCCAAGGATAAACAGACCTACACCACTGAGCTAACGAAAGTCCTTCGCGAGAACCTCATCCCCTCCTTCCACCACATCAGCACCCTGACGCCTTCTAGCGGGACACAATCTACGCTGTCCTCGTTCCCGCACCCAAAATTGTCTACTCTTCTATTAGACAAGATACACGATAGTCTCTTCGATCTTGCCATTCACACAACAAAGTACCTACAGGAAGTCATCCCGCTTATCTACAGTACGCTGTCTAATCCCTTCGGGACGGCGTATCCACCTCTCTTATTGGCGGGGGTGGCTGTTACCAGAGCCGTGATTCTGAATGCACACCCGCGGATCTGGCGCTGGAGAGGGGAGATCCTGGGAGCCCTGGCGGCATGCTGGCTTAGCGTGGCTGACGAGGAGGCTGCGGAGCGAGGGAAAGAGGGTGAAAGGGAAGAGTTGATTAAACTAAAGTTGCAGCTGAAAGGCGTGGTCTATTTGCTGAGAATGGTTTTGCAGAATCCAGATGAGGAGATCGCCAAGGATGACAAGGTGATTGAAGCGAAGGAGGGATTTGCGAAGGAGGTAGAGGAGCTGGTTGGTGCTGATGAGGCATTGAGAGAATTGCTGCTTGGGGAGGTAGATGGGAAGGATGGAATGTATTTTGGTTAATACCCATGGGGACTTCTAACCAATTAATAGAGCACCAAATTGATTTTTTTCTCCACATCTACTGCTAATGCATAGTCTCTCCTAGTCAACACCGTGTCGAAGGCATAGATGCAATCACACATACAATCAAACAAGCCCCTGCTGAATACATACCCCCGGGGATGAGTTCTGTTATCGTCTCGGACTCGAATGCAAGTGTTATCCTATACATAACAGAGACTCGAGGCAAGCCACATATCCTCACCAGAATCTGCTATACCCAGCACGATTGATCTATTCTCTCAGCATGGAACCACTATCCCATTCCCATTCACTGCAGTCCCACTTACCACCACCAGCAAAGCAAAGCCCTACAACCAGCCCCGATGCTACTAGCAAGTAACACATTCCATACCATGATCAAGCCTCTTCCTTATCTTCCATCTCAAGACCCTCCCTTCTCCTCTCACCAACTCATCTCCAACTCAACTTGCCCCCTTCATCAACCTCTCCCCCTCACCAACCACCATTCTCTACTTCCCAACCGAAGTTACAATCCCAATGCAAGAACCACCACAACCAACCCCGATCATGTTCCGAATCTTCAACTACGCCCATACCCATCCCTCAACCTTACCACCATCTCATCACCGCACCCCCAGCCCAATCCCCTCCGTCCGCGTCGAAATCCCACCTTCAGAGCGTACGCCCCCCCTCCTCCTTAATCCACCCACCCCCCAACCAAAACACTACTAACCAACCCAGTCCTCCCAGGCCTAACCCACAACGACCTCCCCCTCCTGGGCCCACGACCCAGTTCCTCGATGCTAGAATACCACCAACTACCCATCCTCCGACACCTTGAATGGCGCACCGACGAGACCACCAACGAGCCACTCCGTCGACCACTGAAAGACGTTGTGTCTCTGACAGCGGCATTCGCACAGACACGCGGATGCGAGCCACCAGAGCCGTGCGTCCATTGCAGGGAGGGAAAGGGGGTCTGGAAGACGTGCGTGGTGGGGTTTGATACAAGGGAGGAAATGAGTACGCATGGTGCTTGTGCGGCGTGTCGGTTTAGTAGGAGGGGGTGTAGTTTTAGTAAGTTTTTCTGTTCTCAGGGAGGGGGAAAGGTGCTAATTGGGTGTGTGTGCTTGTGTGGTTAGATGTGCATACTGAGGAACCTGAGACACCGACGACGAGGGTGAAGGATGAATTTGGCGCCGAGGTTGGGCTTACGACTCCGTCGCCATCTGCTTCAAGGGGATATTCAGCTACTACTACTACTACTACTACTACTACTGCTGTTGCTGCTGTTGCTGCTGGTCGTGGTCGCGGTGGAGGTAGGGCTAGGGGAAGAGGAGGGCGCAGATTCATTCGCGAGAGAGAATATAACCTCAGACCGAGGGCTACTACTACTACTACTACTCCATCACCTAGTGGTAGTGACGTGGAATACTACATCAGTCGTGATGAAGAGCGGGATTTGGGTCCAATGATTATTAAATCTGAGAGGAATGATGTGCTCACATACTCGCCCGGTACTTCTCGTCTTGATGGAAGTATTCTTCCCTTTCCGTTGGGTCCGGAGACGATTGATGATCTGCCGTTTTTGAGACGCGCTGTTACGGAGATGGAGATGCATCTGGGGACGTTGAGGAGGAGGGTGAGGCAGTTGGAGGATAGGGAGAGGATGAGGGATAGTAGTATTAATCCGTGGGAGTTGGTGTGATTTCTTATATGGGGAGGGAGGGCTGGGATGTTGTTGTGGTACATGTTGTTGATGGGTTGGTGTTAGTGTTGGTGATGGGGACGGTGGTAGGGGGGGGGGGGGGGTATGGTGCATGGGTCGATAGGGACATATTTACTGCGTTGTGTTTAGCGGAGAATGACTTGCATGTTGAATATGAGGTGATAGTGTGTGATCATTTGTGGAAGTTAGCGTTCGATGGAGTGGGAGGGTTTTAAGCGAAAAGGCATACTTGATAGACGAGCACCAGTGAGTGTGAATGCAGTTTCTATAAAAAGTCAAATGCGAAGCATCTTCTCTGATCTAAGGCGGCCGTTCAATTCTATCATAATATATACAGACCGAAGTTTAAGACCCACGAGACGAAGTATACACCTTCTGAGGATACAGAAAGCCACCAGGGCCACCATCTACATGGTTCTCCATTCTCGGTCTCAATCCCTCCGACGACGAAGGCAGCATATCAAAACCCTGAGTACTCAATGACTCCTGGGTGTTGACCTTCTTGACAACATCCACCAGCCGTCCTAATATCGCGTACTCAAGCTTCAGCTTAATGCTATAAGCGACAGGCTTGAACATGACCTGCAAGGCATAGTAGCCCGCGTACTGAATACCGACGACGGCTATATCAAGTATCAATACCAGGATATTGATCCCGATTAGCTGCGCTAGAATACGACGATGTCGGTCTTCAGGACGAAGTCGTAACAGCTTCGCAGCTTCCCAGACATACAGACCGGAGAGAAGACCTTCTTGGAGACAGAAGCCGACGAGCTGGATCCGCTCCATGATGTTGTATCCGTGGTTGAAGAGTCTCCAGTGTGTGGAGACGGTTCCGTATAGGAGGACAGTGATGGGGATTTGGAGAAGGATATCATCCAGGATGATGAGACGGAGTAGATAGCGGAGGATTGTGGGGTCCTGGAGGACGAGATGGAGACGGGACCAGAGGACGAGAGAATGGCCGGTTATCATACCACACCAGCCGATCACGATAAGAGTGACGGAGCCGTAGGGCGAGATTTGGGGTCGGGAGAAGAGGAGGATATATCCTACACATTGCGGGACGATGCTTAAGGAGGCCACGAGGAGGGACCAGAAGTAGACGCTGCCTCGGCGCTTGAAGGTCGAGAGACAGAGGATGATGAGCTCGATGGCATTGTAGCAGGCGATGGCGGCAAAGGCCGTGAAGATTTGCACTTGGTGGGAGTCTCGGTATATGTCGGGGAGAAGGCGCCCTGAAGGGGTGTCGCGTTTGAGGAGCATGGGTGAGGGGGACACATGGTTGACAAAGATGGCATGGTGTAGTGAGGGGGAGGGAGGATAGTGGGAGATTTATTGAACGTCGACCAGGGTCGCCACGCTCAGGGTCCGAGGAGAAGAGGATCTGCGAGTGGATGCAAAGGACAATGGGGCCAACAAGGGCCGCTCAGGCCTCCGATTTGCTCCTCATGGGCAGGATGGCGCGAGTGGGAACAAATGCAGGGAGGGTGCGGATGCGGAGAGACTGAAGGGGATCGCTGGGTGAAGCACTATCAAGGGTATGAACGGCAGAAGATCGCCTCACCGGCATCAGGGGGTCCCTGAAAGCAAGGGCGTTATTAGCTCATGGATACGAGGTCTACGCATGGCCGAGCCTCTGACGGAGAAGTTAGCCGATCGACTATCGAAGTTTGTTGACAGCGACAAACCGGGGGAACACGCGGGAGGTCGATCATTTGCGGACAATAAACTAGCCCACTATAAGGTGGATCTTGGTTCAATAGTAGATCCATATCTTCACAAGCGGCCGGCCTGTCCTACATGATGTATTTCTTCAACAATTTTCTGGAAGCTTGTGCATTGACCACTTGGGCTGCTCGCCCCCAGGAGGCGAGAAGTGGCGCCCCATTGTGGAGCTGATATCTCACTCATCGATTTTGTCATGTAAAGTTGTGATTTGAGTTCATGGTAGATGCTACTTCCACCGGTGACTGTGAAGGTTCCCATTCTGTCACTGCGGAATCTAAACCATCTTTGGGAGTTCTGACTTATCATCTCAAGCCCCTATTCCGTAGCCCCGTGACATAGGTGCTCAATAGCTTTTCGCGAGGTGATGGGTATTATTGGATGACTCCATTGTCCAGACAAACAGACTAAAGTGGAACCTTACATATCAAAGGGCCATATGGATCTCAGTGTCTCTTCATCCTTCACAGGCTCATCTGGATCGTCAATCTCAGGATTAGTCAATACGGCCTGCAACATTCCATCAAACATCTCATGATGCGCTGCCTGCGCCGCCTCCCAATCACCCGTTGGCACCCAGCCATCAGTGGCTGTGTTGAGCAAGCCTGCCAGGTCATAACGCAGATTATGCGCTGCTTCAAAAAGCCTGTACTTCTTCTGATGATCTGCGAGTTCATGCGGTGGAGGGACTGGGTAAGGACATGGTCCTGCAAAGCCTAGCTTTTCCCAGTTTTGAGATGTGTTAATCAAGTTGTGGTGTAGTGCCGCAGCTCCATCCTTCCACGTCCTGTAGCTGTAGCGAAATGGTCGGAATAGATTCTGGTCCATCAATCTCGGCTTTGACAGCGTGGGTATAAGAAATTGGGTGCAGACATCAAATGCTCTAGTGCAGACCTCATTCTCCGTTGCAAAGTCGGGAATCTCATCCGCATACCAGAACGCCGGCTCAATGCTAGCGGCCTGCCAGTCAATAATAGCCGTTATCTCAGAAGGATCATCCTCTGAGACAAATATGTTCCTCTTGTGAAGATCTGGGTGAAACAATACTGGTGTCGCGCAGTCCTGTATCCGGGAGTCCTGAGACATGCATCTCATCAGGTCTCGCGCCTGAGCTAGAAGCATCTTGTGTGCTTCAACTGAGCCATGATACATAGGTCGTCGTTTCGTTTCCGAGTCCACAGCCGGAAGCCTCGATAGACCAGCATCAATAAGGCCATCGCAGTATTCATAAAGGTCGTTCCCTAGCCGTGGTTTAGCCAGTACTGAAGCCGCGGGGGTTGATTTTGATAACCCACAGGCCCCCGGTTGGGTTTTGTATCATGTGAAGCTTGACCTCTTCCAACGTCACGATTCCAGTATCTGGTTCCACAATGTGGTCCAATACAGTATTCTCCGTCAAGCACATGCCTGTTGTCGGGGCTTACGGGACTGTGTATAGGATACAGACTCCCAAAGCACGGAAACTGTAGGTCAACCACTTCTTTAAGCTTCCGGTAGATCGCGTCTATACACTTGATACGTTTCTTATCATCCATTTCATGCCACCTCTTGTGCAACTGAACACCAGTTGCATGCTCCATGATGATGTATTCGCTGCCAATGGGATTATCGATGCTCGTGGCATCGTTGCTCCAGTCGAGTATCTTGGGTATAGGAACGGTAGTATTGGCTTGCACTGAAAAGCAGAGTGCACAATAAGCCAGTGAAGCGAAAGGATGATGAGAGGAACTTACGATATTCGATCGTTGCGATCTCAGAACTGGTAGTCAGCTGTGCCGGGCCAGCCAGCGAAAAGGGAAGCCTTGCGACCACTCGTTTATCGTCGTCCAGTTCAAAAATGAAGACCCGGTTGAAACCGCCTTCCAATTTTTGGCATTTTGTGATCGTACTTGCACCTGGCGATAGGGTAAGGACTTTGCGACGGAGGGCATCAAAATCGAATTGAATATAGCGAGAGGCTCGCTCCTCCTCGTCATTGCGAAGCCAGCGCCCACTAGTGTAATTATGTGGATCGAGATCTAGGTGTACACCGTTGCGATCATTATTATGATCTGTTGGTGTCGAGTGACCGTGAGACATCGGTGTATGATACATCCGCAAATCTCCCCGGGCTTTCCTCGTAGCCGTTGAGTGCCGATAGCATGCCTTGTCCACCACGCGGAATGTGTGTCTTCTAACGAGCCCTGTTGTTGTCGAAAGGAAGAAAGGGGGTAGTCGGCGCGTACCATGAGCCAATCTGAACGATTGCTGCATCATATTCCAGAAGATACAAGTTGGAATGAGAAGCAGAGGGAACTAGGGAAGGAGAAAGGAACGCTCTTATCCTCCGGAGCCTTTTAGTCATATGTCTATATGGGAAACCGATCGAAGGGGCGGATGAAGATGTTTGTCTGGCATTCGTTGGCTCCCTAGCAATAGACAGTGGACTTTGGTGATATAAGATATAGAAGACTCTTTTAACAAGGAGTATGCGTTATAATAATCCTTGAACCTCGTAACATTCTAGCCGCAGGGGTCATAGTCCACATCATTATAGGACCGGGAAATATGCGTATGCAAAGGAACCGAGGAGTAGTGAGTGACAGCAGTCCAACGGTCCCGAGCTCCCGGGATGACAGTCCCCGCTCGATGGGAGCCTTGTTCGAGCGCCCGGTAGGCAATAATACTTGCTTTGCTCCTTATCGGTGTCCCGCCGACAGGTTTATGCACCCTGATAGGCACACTTCTCCGAGCTGACTTAACGTGGTAGCCTTGGAGACACGTAAGTATCGACTCCATCCTTCTTAGCCACCTTGCGTCCCCCCCTGGGGTGTCCCTCACTTCTCGGCCATCATCAAGGCGTAACCCGACCTGTAATTCTACTATCGGTCCTTATACCTCAGTCTACAGCATCATGGCATCCATGAACCAAGTTATTACTGGATATGCCGCTCGTCGAGCGAAACTAGAAGCCAGTCAAAATCCCTACGCCAAGGGCATCGCCTGGGTTGAAGGACAACTCGTTCCCCTCAGGGAGGCCCGCATCCCCCTAATCGACCAAGGCTTTCTGCGCAGTGATTTGACCTACGATGTCATCGCCGTCTGGGACGGCCGGTTCTTTCGCCTAGACGACCACCTCTCTCGACTTGAATTGGCCTGCGTGAAGTCGCGTCTCAAGTTGCCTATATCCCGCGATGAAGTGAAGAAAACCCTGGGTAGGATGGTCGCTCAAAGCGGTATACGGGACGCATATGTGGCTCTGATTGTGACGCGGGGACTGCAGAGCGTTCGCGGTGTCAAGCCGGAGGATTTGGTAAACAACCTGTACATGTTTGTGCAACCCTATGTCTGGGTCATGGATCCAGAGGTCCAACGGATCGGTGGAAGTGCTGTTATTACGCGAACTGTTCGTAGGGTGCCCCCAGGGGCTATCGACCCTACCGTGAAGAACTTACAATGGGGTGACTTGACTCGAGGTATGCTCGAGGCGGCAGATCGAGGTTCCATGTACCCGTTCTTGACGGACGGAGATGGCCATCTCACGGAGGGATCCGGTTATAATATTGTTCTGATCAAGGACGGTGCGATTCATACGCCTGATCGCGGTGTGCTACATGGTGTCACCAGGACAAGTGTCATTGATGCCGCACGAGCTTGTGGGATCCAAGTTCACCTCGAGGCTGTGCCGGTCGAGTTGGCGTATCAGTGTGATGAAATTTTCATGTGCACGACAGCGGGTGGAATCATGCCCATCACAGAGTTGGATGGGAAGCCTGTGAATCGGGGGCAGATTGGTCCGGTCACGAAGAAGATCTGGGACGGGTATTGGGCTATGCATTATGACCCAGCCTACAGCTTCGCAGTCAGATATGATGATGAAGGATCAAAGGCCAAGCTGTGATTGTAGGGAAGTGACGATGGCTGTGATTCAGATGTTGCATGCCCCGTAGCGTGGTGGACAATCTGGCGCCCTTCTTTGGAGGACTTGTGAGTCCCTGTCAAGTGTTGGCCTCCGAGTGTCTACCGTAGATAGTATATGCACTCCTGGGATGATTGTAGCCTCCCTAGATTACCAAATATTTTCACTGCCCGGGATCTGAAGAGATTTCCTAAGAAATAATGACAATGATAGAGACATTCAAGCCAGCTGTAGATCAGTAGCATTACTTATTTCTAGACTAGATAAAGTAACTCTATACAGGACTAATTTGAAGATTTTAGGATCAGTATAAACATAAGAATTTTGATATCTGAATTATAGAGGGCCTTACTGGAGTAGATTGATATCGACTCTTTAAATAGCCGAATGGACAAGATTGAAGACGGCAGCATCACTCTGCTGGCACCCAATGAGCATGACCTCAGGGTCGTTGACTCGATATACTTGCTATGGCGACTCATGTGGGAGCAAGATGACTGAAACAATCAGAGCACATTCAGATGGAAGGTAATGATGATAAGCAAGCAATTCCAAAGAAGGCCTGGTGGGTCGTCCAGACTGAATATGGTCGGGTAAGTGGAGGAAACGAATCGGTAGTAACCGGGGTAGATGACGAAGTTCGAAAGAGCTCAGGATATTTCTTTGTTTGTCGACAAGGGTGTGTTTAGCCAGCTGCTCGGTTGCGATCATGCCATCCCCGGATTAGTGCTATTTTCCTTGCCAGGATCTCTTTTCCTACTCCCTCCCAATTCCCCCTTGGGTACTTTAGTTTTGACAAGTATAAATAAGGGGAAAAGCGGAAAGTAGGTAGTAGGTAGTTCTGATGTCATGGAGATGGCTAGACATGAATGTCGACACGAATCTTACTTCCTGGCGTCTTTACCATTCCAGCATGGAAGGCTCAGAGATGACAGGTTTGACCGTTGAAAGCCTCTAGGGAGCGCCCTGGTGCCTCGCAAAATATCGAGTTTATACGGTCTCATAGTATAAAGTACTATGAGAGGTAAACTGTATATTATTCAACTATTACTTCCAATGTTTCTTGGCAATGAGACCGTCGGCCGGTAGCAGGATGTATCTGTCATCAACAGAAATTTCGCTCTGAACCTCTCCTTGAAAGAGAATGGAATTGGAGTTACTGTACTCGTATCTCGTTAGTTCTGACTGTCCTCTTTGCCATTGTCCGTAGATGGGCAGGATCGGTGATCAGAAGGGCATGAGGGACAACCGCAGTATGGAGATATCGCAATACGATCTCGAGTCTGGTATACCACTCTGACTACGTCAGAATATAGAGATCACGAATTCGCTATTGGCTGTCTTTTCCGTTACTGAATGCTGCGCGCGTCATATTCCGGATGGCGGAGACGGAGAGAGTAGAAAAGGAGGAAAAGGAGGAATTGGAAAGAGACGGCGAGAGCAGGTGACTTCAATTATCTCATCCTCGCCTCTTTTCCGCTCCGTCAACCCATCTGCCTCTCGACTCCTTTCCCGATCATATCATCCTATGCATGCATTAGAAATGGTTTCATTCCTTTGTCGAAGACATCCATCGACAGGGATGAAAAAAGTCCGAAATTGCTGGCTATTCCGGCCGAAGGAAACCACGAATCAACATCGGGAAAAGACTATAAGCGAGATGTTATAGTGCGCGCTTTTTCTCTCCCTGCCAATATCCCGTGGAAGGGAAAGGGAAATGCTGGACGGTCTGTCATAAGCAAGAAAAACGTTTCCCATGACGATCGAATGCGTGAAGAGTTCAAGAACCTCTGCAAGGAGAGACATCACTAGTTACAGTGTGTTAGTTGTCTGGTTCATACCCTTGCTGTCTTGGTGATTATCTGGTCCGCCTTTTTCTTTGCTTCTTTTTTTTGTTCCGCTTCTTCGTGGTGCCTTTTTTCTTTTTCTCTTCGCGCAAGACATACATAAGCGCGGCACTAGGACTAACGTTAGTCTGCGTGGCCAAAGGCGCTGGATTGCTTGCTGACAGGGTTTCTGTCGCTTCTCAGTCTTGCCTCTGCGAAGCTCTACGCCATTTGTTGATGAACCGGCTTAAACGCATCAGATGGAAATATTATAGAGTCGTCCAGCAGGGATACTGGGCAACTCTCCTACCCCATAGTATTGCATTTGCGACTGACCATGCAGCTGCTGTCCATCTCCAACCCCCGATCGCACCAACCGGAAAGCGAAGCATCACCACCGCTTTTCGAGCCTGTCGCACGACGCTAAAACCGCCGATCCCTGCAAGATCCCCCAACTGCCTGAGAGGGGGTTGTCTTCCCTCGCCCCTTTAGGTCCCCCCAATGGCTCCCGCCTCAACGAGCCTGCATTTGCTTTAGCCATATCACACAAGCCTAGGCAGCCAGGACACGTCTGGAGCCTTCTGCCCGGTACATTGCTGTGTACCGAAATACCGAGGAGCGTGGCGGGAGACATTGGTTGCTCAATTGATTACTCGCGCGCGGTACGGAGTAGATTATTTTCTTTCTGTTTTGGATGGGGTGATAGGTCACAAGGAAATTCTGGTGCAACGTCCGTTATCGCATCATCATCCGTTTGGTCTGGTTGTTGTCGACCTCCACCATAGCCCCCTGCACCAATAGTGGAGAGCGGGAACATAAGGACCAGGAAAGAGCCAGGAGAACCAAACCCCGGCGGGCGTTCAGCTGAGTGAGAGAGGCACGGAAGGACGGAGTGCGCCTCTGCCTTATCCGCGCGGTCACAAATAAAAGGCGGGCAGCCGACAGGACCCTAGCATGAAATCTGACAGGCCGGCATTTAATTAGCGTTCAAGAAGCCACGGTCTAGGATCATTCGGAACCAAGACAGGTCGGAATTAAGGTGCACAAGAGTCGCCCGCGCAAGCGATGGTCTCTGAACATCGTCCTTCTCCTGGTGTAAGCCACCACTCGAGTGTGCCTCTATAATCCTTACTAGCCGGAGCTACGAGTCAAATCCAGAGACCCCCAAGTTTGAATGAGTGTCACATAGGCTTTGTTCGCCCACCAACAACTTAGCAACCTGCTTCCTGTTCCTGTTCGCATAAGTATCACTCTTTCTGCCTGACAGCGACACGTTCAGTGTTCCAGGGCCAAGTGACGATTTCCCTTCCCCGCCCCATCAGACCACACCATTCAGTAGCCCGCTATATTCTGGATGACGCTGAACAGAAGCGCGAGTAAACGAGATGTCTTCTGGGGATGGCGCCAGAAACAATCCACCTGAGGCTTCGGGAGCTGCCAAAGCGGGCTCTCGAAAGAAGATCCGACCCACATACTCATGCTTGAACTGCCACAAACGCAAAGTCAAGGTATGGTTGTCTTTGAAATCAATACCCATTGTTCGCGGCGCGTGCTCTGGGGGCTGGGGGCCGTTTTAAATGCCGAGCAGGTCTCACCATCGTGGTGTCGTGCCCTCCCTGACTAACGCGCGACTTGACAGTGCGACCGAGTAAAGCCGTGCGGTGCCTGCTGCCTCCGCGGTACACCGTCCGAGTGCGAATACGGCACCAGCAAGCGGGACCGCCATTATATTCAGCAGTCGGCTTTAATCGAGAACCTTCTTCGGTCCTGTGAGAATCTGAAACAGCAGCTTGCCGAAGCTCGCCAACTCGCCAACCTTCCCGCCATAAAGGATGAAGACGGATCGCTACCGAGCAGCCAGGCGCTCTACTCCATCAAGGAGTCGGACAACTCGGTTGACGATGGAGACGACTCATTGGACGAATTAGACCTTTCTTCCAAGGCTGCAGACAATCAGTCTTTGGCCTCACCCAACGCAGTAGTGCTGGAGGAGCAACGTACACGTAAAGAAAGTACGTGGTTATCATACCCTCCCCGACCTTTGCATATCCCTTTCGCTCACCAGGGTCCAGGTCGTTCCTCCTCTCCACCGTTGTTGAAAGAGAAAGTCATCCTTACTGATCCCAATTTAGCTAACGCATTAATTGAATTTTATGTTGAACGCTTGGTCACTGATTTCAGTCCCCCCCATGTCAGCGGCACCATTGCGTTACGTGAAGCTCGGTCCTTGCGAGTCTTTTCTCCGATTCTGTGCAGTGCATTTGAAGCAGCATCTCTCACATTCGCTGGCCGGCGCGATGGAAACCGCTCAGTCGAGGTAGCTGGACACTCGCGTTACCTCAGAGTCTTGCGCTCCCTTCAACATGCTTTGTATGACCCTCATCAGGGCAAGTCGACCGAGGTCCTTGTCGTCGTTCTCCTAGCTACTATCATAGAAGTGAGCACTGGTTGTTGCTTTGCGCGATTCCTTCGCTAATTTCGGAATAGGCCTTCAAGCAAACATCAAAAGACTCACTTCTCAAACATCAGCTGGGTGGTTTGGAACTTCTACGGACTCGAACACCATATCGACATCGACATGGCATTGAGCGCTCTTTGTATGTTGACCTTCGGATGTATTGGGTAAGATAAGCCATCATCATTATGTCTAGAGTCGAATCTAACAAACTGGCCAGGTCACGGCAGCCTTGGTACATCGGAAGCCTACTTTCCTTGCGGAAAAAGATTGGTTAACAGTCCCATGGCCTGGGGACGGCCCGGCCAAGGACATCCTCCAACGCCTGCTGGATGTTGCAGTGCATATCCCCGGATATCTTGCCCAAGTTGACGAGTTCTCGGCGCTACTGAAAGGGGGGAACAAGCCCCCATCAGAGCTAGTCAACATGCAGAGTGCCATTTGGGAACGGGCCACCGAACTTCAGGGTCTTCTCCAAGTATGGAAGAACATGTATGCCGATACATATCCGTCAGGCGGGCCATGGGAGGAAAGTCCAAGCGAAGCAGACCCAACCGACGACTTCCCCAAATTCAGGTGCCGCAACCCCAGCACAATGCAAGTAATAGTGGGACAAAATATAATGTACCCAGACCTGCTTCTAGCGACATCAATGAGTTTCTACTGGGCCTTGGGCCTGATCATCTCCACCACCGACCCAGGACTCGTCAGCGTCCTCGGACTTCAGGAACGATATCAGTACGCGTGCAACATTTGCCGCAGCATGAAATACTACACCCAGAATATCCCGGGCTGTCTGATCTCACGAGTTATGTTCATTCTCCGCACTGCCTTTGATAACTTCGCCGACGGCATGGTTGAGAAGGAATCGATGGCGGAAATATTCACCTATATCGGTCGGAAATTCGAGCTCCCTGTGTTTTCCAACAAATGCACATCCTCTTCAGTGAAGGGTGAAGGAAATCCATGATTTATTTATTAATACTTTCACATACATCCACCTCTCCCTGCATTTCTACCCTGATCCTATCCTTTCGAGCGGATATTCCCATCTCTGATATTGCGAGGAGGCTTTACGATTGTCATGACCATTGCTACGTGTGATTACATGATCAACACTTCATTTATTCTCATACATAGGCGTTATGGCTGGATGCAGGAGCTGGATGTCAAGTTATTTGCGAGCGTATCTTTCAAAGCAAGCAGTCGCCTAGATATCATTCAATGTTACTTATTTCAATTACTAGCACTGAGAAAAAGAGGTATCCTAGTATGCAATTCACTATACCAAGTTGTCTCATACGTTTTCCTATGATGCAATGACAGTACTATCTATATACTAGTATTCAAGAAGAAATAATTTTCATTCTTTTTTACCCTTTTTCAATAATATGTAGTAGTATACATTTTATTTTTGGATCCTCTTGAGTTGTTCACTGCCTCCGCATTTCCTTCAGAATATATAACTACAACATCGCACAGCGATGTGCGGACTACTAACAACAACAATTTGATCTGTGAATTGAGTCTAGCATAATATGAATCAAGACATCAGCACAGGAAAATAAAATAAAAAAAAAAAAAAAGAAGAAAAAAACCAATAGCAAATTACTACATCGTACAGAGCGTCTCAAGAGACAGAGACATCATCAATCATCATCATCATCATCATCATCATTAATATACTATTTCCACATAACGTCATACTAATTTACTAGCTCTTCTAATACGCTTATACTTTTCGAATACATTCATTTAGTCCATTTCACCGGTCCCCAAAGCAGTCAATCCTCTCCCCCAATAATCGCAAAGGAACCTCTCATCATACACCTGGGCTCTGTAAGATGATAGGGTCTAACAACGGAGAAGACCTGTCCACCATGCAGGAGAAGGATGTAGAACGAAGAAGGCCAACAGACAGCGCAGGGCAGCCCACATTATTGTCCTGTCTATGTGGGCCAGCTTACATAGGGGAAGAGGGGGTCTGAGCGGACGATAGTCATCATTCAATAAGGCAAACGAAACAGATCACATGTCGGGGGAAGGGACGCGATGTGGTCTGGGTCTGGAATTGCATTTTTCTCTCGCTCACATGACGATGCATGTAGCACGGATCTTGGCTCTCTTGAGAGTTTTTTTGGGAGGGGGTGGTGTGATTGGTTGACCACAAGCCCAGTCAGTCGCTGAGAAAAGGAAGCCCCGTTGGCAATTTGTATTCTCTTCGAGCCAAAGAGTGTGCGTGTGAGTGTGCATGGACACAGCATCAGCCAACGAGCACCTTTCTCAAGGTTACGCAGAGCGTCAGCACGCAGGACTCAGTGACTGGAATCAGGGAGAGAGGGAGGAGGGTGGGTTTATTGATTGCTGGGCTGCACACTAAGGGGTATCGCGTCCCCTCTGGGAGATTGTTTTGCTTGGAGCTAGGGCAATGATTGGCGCAACGTCCGTGAATTTCTCCGGCGCCGCTGCGACCGGCGCAATGGTCGGGTGGACGAATCGGGCGGCCCGGTCGGTGGTGGCCCGCAATCTAGTGGCTGGGTGCAGTGCAGATGCTGCGGTGCTCCGCAGGTGCGTAGTCGACTGTGTTCTGTGTCATTCGGCTCATACTGCTGTGGAGGATAGACCGGTAACCGTCGGGATTGAGATGAATGCATTCCGTGCGAAGAGATAGTCTCCGGTGTCCTGCGTCATCTGGTGGTTGCTATGGCTGTTGGGCTCAGGCTTGCGCGCGGTGGGTGGTGCTCGGATGGTGAATCCACCTTCGGGGTCCACGGGGAGCCAGTTGGCTGTGAAACGGGTACTTCCATCCGGCATTTCCAGCGGGGTAAGCCCATTTCCCTCCAAGTCCATGGTGAAGCTAATTTCCCTGGACTGGCTTTTGCTATTTCCTTGTGAGTTGCTGAGAGTGGGCAGTGGGTCCTCAAACGAAGGTTGAATCAGTCCATCGTCGAGCGCGTGATGCAGTGAGACCGAGTCGGGGAAGCCAATATCGGATAGTCCATAGAATTGGACCAGCTCGCCTTGATTGTATTCCCGGTCCCATTCCCCCTCACTGCCACTGTATGACTGTTGGCTCATTCCCGGTGAGCTGCAGGGGTCATCGAGAAGGGGCGACTGGACCAAGTGCGATCGCGAGCTGGGGCTGTCGTGTGATGCTCGCGGAGAAGGTGTACTTGCGGGAATATTCATGTAGAGCGCGCGTTCAGTAGCTAATTGGGATGCCGAACGGAGCAAATCGTCTAGAGAAAAATCGGCGGTGGTGGGCTTGGTATCGGGGGCGGTGTTGAACGACGATTCTCCGAATCTAGTGCAGCAGCCATTGTCAGCTGGAAGGTCCTGGAAACCTTTAATCATGCCATGGCTATGGCGCACACTGGAGGACACACATTGAAGATATTTTGTCCGCCAATTGAGGTACATTCAGAGCATTAGCAACACCCATCGGTTGCGAGGGATGGTAGAGGCCCGAGCCCGTCTCGCCTGTTGCGAAGTCGAATTCTGAGCAAAGCTCCGGGCTCAGCAATTGCGACGATGACAGATCAAATCCGTTGAGACTCAGATGGCTTCCGTATAACTCCTCATCCGTGAAGTTAGAGTCCAGGCCGAGCATCTGAGTGTCGGACGGGCCCATAGAAGTCCATTTCTCGAATTCTTGAGGATGGCTCGTATGCAGCATTGTGGCGAGGTCTTGCGTGGTGGTTCAGCTAGTCGAGCGATAGAAATTGTAATGTTATACTGATTTTCTCAGATCATAGAAGGCACTACAGCATAGCATTTAATGATGAGGAGTGCTGCCTCTGGAGACTTTGTACGGTTGATTGAATTATGGCATGCGCAACGAAGGCCTCGTCGAGAAGCCGCGCACGACGGCGATTGATGTTTATAAGACATACTCCGCAGGTCAATGCAGCAGAGGGGCGTGCTAAATGAATCTTGAAATTGAGTTCGTCATTGTCACTGTTGCTTGAGAAAGTGGGTGACCACGGCCGCAACGGGGTCGGTAAAATACAAACTGGAGCAATCGGACATTGGTGGAGCTTGGATACATTAGAACACTCGAGGGGAAAGCTCAGTGATTTGACGGACCAGGAACCATCTGATCTTCACGGGGCCATGTGGTGTCGCTGAACCTTGCATACCCCATATTCTGCTGTGGCAATTAACCGAGCACCCTCCCCGGCCTGCCGAACTACGGGAATTAAAGGCTGTTAAAGCTGAGCGCCTGTTGGTTCGATTCCCAATGCAATCGCTTTTCTCCCCGCAACGGCTTCGGTTTTTTGGGAATTTAACCGAAAGTCCCAGGTTCGGACCGAGCGAGCACGGCCCGTTCGTTAAATCTGGGGTAAGGGGAAGGGGCCGCCCAACAACCCCGGTCCTTGCACCAAGTGCAGAATCATGCGATGCCCGACATTAGCGACGAGTCTATGCCTAGAAGCGATGTTTGCTCTGTTAAGAGGAAATGGGCATGGCGTTCGGGAGGTGGTGTCCAGAAATAGAAAAAATGTTTGGTAGGTTAAAACCCGCGAGCCATAACAAACAAGCCAGAGACACCAATATCAGCATAAATGCTCGTATATGTACAGGGTAACATTGGAGAGCAGTATCCAAGAAAGATAATTGATACTACGAGGTACTTTGGGCTAATAGCAGCAGCCGTTGCGATCAATTGCCAATGCCGGGGTAAGGTCCGGCAGATGCAGGCACGGGGCAATGAGCCATAGAGGCGAGCAGGAGCGAGCCCGATTCAGGCAAGGTAATCAACCGAGAGGGAGGGGGATACTGTGCCTGCATATGCCAGTCTCTGCGACTGGCCTAGAACCAAGCATGCCCTGGCGGGAGATGATTTAAGCTCTCTCCAGCCGATGGCCTGCGGATGCGGAGCCGATGCAACCGTGCGCTGAAATGGCCTCGGCGCTGTGAGAAACTCTAAATCTAAAGAGCCAACCCAGTGCCCTTCCGGGTCCACCGGTAGAGTGCTAAGACGGCCTTGCGACGATGCCGAATCTCGCTGTGATTAACAGGGCGCCCACGCGCCTGCGCAACGGCGCTCCGCATGACCTGTCGAAAGTTTCGTTGGTATTCAGTGTTCAACGTCACCACACAGGACTCGGTCGCTCGGATCATCACCTCGCACGCATTCAGAATACCCTCCCCGGCTTCTTTCTGCAGCCGCTCCACAATCAGCAAGAGAAGAAAGCTGCCTTGAAGTAATTGAATGCCGAAGAAATACGGCATAAAACTGATATCGGGGTCGTAACGTAGGATATGGTCCACCGAGTCTGCCGCATCAAGGGCGTGGGAGATGGTCGAGGCGAACGCGGGCGATGAAGTCCAGAAGTCCTTATCTTCGATCAACGATACAGGATCCCATTTCCCGACAAGAAGAATATGTAGCACATGCACGAGATAAGATGCATACGAGATGACCGTTTGAGTATGCCATGAATAAGCCTGGGCGAGTGAGGGTTCGACCGGTTGTTGATCGGGTTTAGGGGGAAAGGCACTGGATAAGGGCGCATCGGGATCCGATGCAGTGGCAGCAAACGTTGTGAGACTAGCCTTGTAAAGCTCAAGCTGGCGCAGCACTTCACCGACGTGCGCATCCCAGGCGTCCTTTCCATTCAAGCGTGCTCCAAGCATCGGATGGTTACGAGCTTGGTTTAAGTCGATTAATTCGCCAGTAATGGTCATGAGAGGCAGGAAGAAGCCGAAGATAGAGTGGTCATGGCAAATAAAATTGGGGAATACGCGGCGTTTGTTCTTCTCGCCTGACAGCGGGCACTGTGGTCCATCCGGTTTGGGACTATTGCTGTGGATGTTCCCAGACTGCCATGACCCTTCGTCCAGCGGCAATAAAAGATCCTCGCTTTCAGCATCGAGTAGAGCAAGGGGGCGATTGTAGCAGAGAGCGAGGTGACGGTCCATGATGTAGAGAAGCCACCATGTCCGACGACGCTCCTCACGGTGCTCTTCGGTAATGGCGCCACGCAATTCGTGGCCACGGTCGCATACGCAATTTAAGCTTGGCCGAGCAGGGTTTGAATAATCGAAAAAGGGGCCCGTGTCAACGCCACTCCATCCCGCAAGTGAATAATCAAATGACGGGCTCGAGCCCTCTGGGTGATTCTCCTCACTAGGCATCACCTCGATCTCCTGATTGAGCTTCAGTTCCCGTGCAAGAGTAAAGGCGGCATGCCACCTAAGATTGGTTAGCTTCCTTGCTCGCTTCGGGTTATTTGAATAAAACGAACCATCGCATGCTGGCGGCCTTTTGTTCGCTTGAAGAGGTAATGGATGCCACATGGATGTATGTGATGACATCGTCCAATGATCCTGCAGGGCCGACCAGCCCCCGATCATCACCACCGGCTTCAAATGGGTGGTGCACCGTTGTAGGGGGGCCGTCCTGACCGATCGCAGCATGAAGTGGGTCGCTCGCCGCGGCGCCCTCTTGCTCTTTGAATGACACGTGAACCAACGGTCGCAAGAGCCGTAACGTTAGAGCACATAAAAATTGACATATCTTCTTCCTCTGGGGAGGAGATATCGGTAAAGCAAACGCACGGTCATCTAACGCTGCCACCCAAAGCATGCTGGCCAGAAGTGCAGGGCTGCTAGGCCGAGGGGCTTCCCGGCTCAGAAATGATGCCTTTCGTAGAACATAGCAGTGAATGTGATGACACACGGGATGCATATGCGTGGAGAATGCGCTTGTGAAGTAAAGGTCGAGAAGATCGTATACTAGCTTTCGAGGCAAGCTCGACTCCAAATATGGCATTACTGGCTGGAGTACTGGATATTTTAGGATTGTCGCAGACGGTGCTGGTGTCTGTCCAAGGCCGGTTATCTTGGAACCCTGAGATGCTGGATCACTGTAGCCGGCCAGGTCCACCCCGTTCCAGATATCAAAGATTCGAGGAAAAGGGCCTTCCCCAGGGCCGATGCCTGCCAAGGGCTCATAGGAACCTGGAGAGACATGCGTGCCTGCTAGCCATTCCTCTGTCGCATTAGCTGTATGCCCTGACTTCCTAGGAGGAAGTGACACATCCGCCTGAGAGCGCCGCTCGTCAATACTTGGGGCTGACACTGTCACATCATTTGTCGCTGGCGATCTATGGCGAAAAGTCGTAGAGGGAGAGCCATTTGGAACCGGACCAGATCCTGCTTCCGCAGGTGCCGGTGCTGCGGCTGGGGACTCCACAGGTTTGGTCGGCTTTTCAGTGGCAGCAATAGGCTCTACCAGTCGGGATCGCGCAATGCGTCCTCGCTTGCGTCGTTCGCGAGTGAACTCGCATCGGATTTCACTGCGAAGGCAGCGCGAGCAGGGAAAGGCTCGATCGCACCGCACGCGACGCGAATGGCAGGAGTCGCAAGCTATCCGATTCCTTCTCCAACGACGTTTTGTTGAGGCTCCGCCGATTGGTTCTTCGGTGGCTGCTGGAACGCTGGATGCCTGGGCGTCCCCCGACTGGGCAGTATCCATTTCAGGCCGACATTGGCGATTCCAGAGGTATATGAGGGTATGCAAAAGAATCGAAGTCTGGAAAAATGGGGTTGAGAAGTCAGCAACCGGCCAAGACGAAAGGAGCGAAAGAACCGGTCCTTAGCCCTTACCAGGCAATTACAAGCGGGGAAAGAGACCGAGGCAGTTGTTGATGAGTGACTGGCTTGACATACGTACCCACGACGACAGCTAAGCCTTCTGGGATGCGCCGTTGACAAGACGCAATGCGGATAGAAACCCGTAGAGCAGAGGAGAGGACTTTTCCATGGAGGAAGAAGGGAGCTGAGTGGCAGAGCGCAAAACAGGCCGGGCAGAGCAGAAGCGATCCATCGCGGGGAAACCGTCGGGGCTGGACTCCGCACGCGCTAAAAAAGGGCCCTAATCCAGAGCCGGGCCACACATGGAGAGCTCTCCAGGGTTCACTGCCCTGGTGGCAAACTCTGGTTTGTCACTAATAGGCCGCGGTGGGGTGTGCCAAATCGTTTCACAGGTGATTTGAAAAGTAGTACCTCTAGTACTCTCTGTTTTGGGGTGGACGCTATGAAGTCGCTTCCTTGCGAAATCAAAATGCCAATGGTCGGACAGCTGGCACGTTGCCAAGGCTAGCACGAAATTGATAATATATTGCTCCCGCTATTGCCAACAAAATTCACCACAAAACTCCGTCGCGGACCGTCCGGTGTAGCCGAAGTCAGCACAAACTGAACTTCAATTGAAGTTGAACGCGGCGGTCTAGTGGCTAGACCATCGAGTCAGTATAGGCGACTAGGTTCCTGCAGCTGCATCCGCATCTGCATGTGTACCCCAGCTGCCTTACCCTAGTAATCCGCGTCTCGGAGATCGGCCTCGCCCACTGCCTGTTTGGTAGGTTGAAAAGTAAGACATTGTAGCAGATACAATGGGGGCTCGTCGTCATCAACAAACTTAATTTTTGTCACTGCCACTGTTTTCTCAACGGTCAGCCGGGTCTCGTTATATATTTAGCACGCAATAGTTCGATTGATCTATTATCTGACCGGTGTCCACAGTAGGAAAGGCTTGCAGAGACCATATCCAATATGTCAACCAGGACATGGTCGACCGAAGGACGTGGTAGTAAAGAGAGTAACTCGAGGAAGCATCCGGGAGGAACTCAGAGATGGGGAAGACGACCTTTTGGTTGATGCGGACAA